ATCAAACCGTTGATACCTGGATTGTTAAGGTCAACGAGTGTGCGGCTATTATGGTTGGTCAGAACGTCAGATAATTCATTATGCTCTTCCGAAATTAGTTGGTTTAGCGCAAAAGTGGTATCAAGGTTTGCCAAGCTTAATGTTTTCTTGGTCTGAAAGGCAGGATAAACTAAGGTCAGCATTTCCAAGTAATCAAAATTATGGCCAACTGTTAACAGAAATGCTTGCGTGTAAGGCTCAATTTGGCAAGTCTTTAGAAGAGTATTTTTATGAAAAGATTGTTTTATTGAACAGATGTTTAATATTTGGTAAAAATGCTACAGACTGTATTTTATTTGGCATTGAGGATAGGTCTGTTAGAACAAGTGCCGAAGCTACTCAATTTACGGAACCAGATAAATTATTAATTTTCCTAAGAAATGTTAAAACTGTTAGGGAGGCCTGAAAGGAACACCACAATTCAAGCAAGCACTTCTGACAACAGACGGCCAAAAGTCTTTAAGCCGATACAAGGTAGTTCTGATATTAAAACTGTACCAAAATGTTATAACTGTGGTGAGATTTAAGTACACCCATATTTTAAGTGTAAACATGCTATTAAAAGGTGTAACACGTGTCATAAGATAGAACTGATAGTTGTCCAAAACAAGGGTCCGCAGGCAGCAAGACCGTTTTAAGTTATATCCAAAAATATTGATTACGATTTAAAATACTTTAAATCAGCCAAGGTTAATGACATAGAATTAGACTGTTTCATAGATTTTGGTAGTCAATGTATCATGTTGAAGGAATCTGTTGCTAAAGTCTATTTGGTTCGTGGTCAACAAATAATTTGCCAGGCTTTGGAGATTCTGTAGTGAAATGTATCGGTACGTGTGAAGTCGAAATTGGAAGTGGATCTTGTTAAAGCTACGGTACAAGTTCTTATTGTGGCAGATGAGTTACTAAGAGTTCCGTTATTGCTGGGACAAACGTATACTGAACAAGATCACATAGTTGTTTATAAAAATAAGGATAGCTTAAAAATAATTTCAAGAGATTCACAAAAAGAAACTAAGGTTTTGCTGTACGTCGCTGAATCTATGTCAGTTGCTTTTGATTATACTTAATGAAATATATGTTTACTCATCTCCAAATTATAAGGGTCAGTTATTTATAGAAGCTAGTTGTTGCCAATTACCTAAACGTGAATATGAAGTTATTCAGAGTGTCATACAGCTAAACAATGGTCAGGGACGAGTAGTGATTAAATGTGTATCTTCAACTCTATATACTTTAACAAAAGATATGCTACTGGTTCGAGCTCTACCCTTAAAAAAATGTTCAAAATATTTATGTAAATAAAATTGAACATAACTCTGCTCCTCCTGTTACATTAATAGACATTTCAATGTTAAATATACTTAGATAAAGACTTGGGCCATAGTGATAAAGTTAAATTACTAAATCTTTTAAACAAATTCAGACAATGCTTTGCTTTTGCAATAAATGAAATTAGGTGCCTACAAGGTTCAGAAATGAATATTAAATTAAATGACAATAATCCCGTAGTATATAGACCGTACCGTTTGTCTCAACCAGAACGCGAGCGTGTTAGAGCTATGGTAGAAGAATTAGAAAACTGTGGAATCATCAGAGAGTCTACTTCAGAATACGCGTCAAATTTTGGTAAGCCTGAACATTTATGGGACGAATGTGTAAGTGACATTCAGTGGGGATTAAATAATACAATAAATAAAACAATTGGTAAAACTCATGCAGAAGCGTTATTTGGTATTAAAACAATAGGAACCAATGATTATTTGGTGCAGATTAATGTCTTAAGTGATTCCGATAATGAAAATGCACAAAATACTAATAATATTGACAGTATTAGGAACGAAATATCGCAACAAATTAAAATTGACCAAACAAAACAACAGGAGTGTTTTGATAAGAAGCGGAAAATCTTAAAGTTCGTTGTAGGTAATTTGGTTAGAATAGAGAGAGATTCTTTCAACAAGTAAAAGCAGAAAATTAATTTCTAACGTTCGCAGTCCTTATCGTATAATTTAACGAATTAATATAACGAAGATACACCTATATCACGCAAGGGTAGACGTTTTAGTGGTATATTTTCCGTTGATAAAATTCATCCTTGGTTGGTTTATCAACGAAACTATGAGTCTGATACTCAAAGTTCAAATAGTAATACCGATTAATGAATAAGTGATTACAAAATGATTACAAATAATTTGTTATTAGTGTTGCAAGGATCATTTTCTTCCTTTATGTAATGATTAGAAATAAATAATATTTTTGATTTAGTTAGTTACTATTTAAATAATTTTAGTTGTAAAAAAACAATATTGATATTTGTTTATAATTGTTTTTGTACATTATATTAATGTCATCATTTATTAGGAAAATGAATATTGAAGACATGAATGGGGCTTCAGTATTCTTTACTTATTTCTTGCCTGTTGAGAACATAAAGGGGTCTCATGCAGGTGAATATTGAAGACATGAATGGGGCTTCAGTACTCTTTACTTTTTTTTACCTGTTGAGAACATGAAGGGGTCTCATGCAGGTGAATATTGAAGACATGAATTGGGCTTCAATATTCTTTACATTGTAATTTCATTAATTTAAAATAAACTATAAAATTACAAATAATATTAACTTAATATGATAATACATTTTATACTTTCCTTTCACGAGACGTGAAAATGTCAGGAAAGGCCGATTGTTAGCAATTAAGTATAAAGAACAATTAAGCATAATATATTGAATGATCCTAATTTTAATGTACTTATCTCTTGAAATATACATCTAACTTTAATAAATGTAAATCGGATTTCCGCTTTTGTGGCTTTGAATTTTAATTTAATAGTTTCGGATTTGACTACTAAAAAAAGAGGGATAAAAATGGCCGTCACAACCGAAGCGGGGCATTCAGTTCTAAGGTATTGAGACTTAAGAGACTTGACAGTTTTTGGTGTAAAGATATAGTGAATGTACTACATAACGGTGATTATTTGTACGATAAATAAATTGTGAATTATAAATGGCTTCCCCCCGGACCGCTGAGTAGTTCAGACGTGTTACACTAAATCCCTATATTTTTTTATTATAAATATTTAAATTAAAGTTTCTATTACGAAAATTGAGTTAAAAAAATAAGAGTGCATAATTAAGAAGAGTTTGCGACCCGGCGCCGGTAGATTGCCGTGCTGACTCATACGCTGCATCAACGCCGCCCATCTTTGTCCTGCTGCCCGCCCCCAGAGGCGTCACGAAGATCAACCAATCCTCTACGCTTGTAGGAGGTACGTGTTAAGTGTGCAGAGCTCCTAGTGCCTTGGCAGCGGGCTACATACGACACGATATCGGTGGCGATCTAGGGTGGAAAGAAATCGGGGCTTTTATCGGGGTAGACCTTACACACGGGCCTGCCTAGCAGTACGCGTTCGGACTTGGAGCGGAATACATATGCGGTAGAGTTCTTCAAAATACCTCCGACTCTCTTAAAACACCACCGTGTTGGTTTGGCATTAGCCATCTCGGTTAATTTATTCGAAAATAGAAAAAGAGTTGCTGGGTGAAAAAATGGCTCCAAAAAAGATAAAAATTAAGCCACATAAACGTACTAAATGGCCTGTAATCCAAGGACGTGATTAATTTTCTCCGGATAGATGAAGACAGTTTTTATAACCTTCTAGAAATGATTTCGCCACTTATATAAAAACGTCAATTTTTCTCTTTTTTCATTTCTGCTTTGGTCAATATCTGGTTATGTATTATACACAACAAACAAGGATATAATTTACTTTTGTATAATAATATGTATACTTTTTTTTTAATGTAATCTTTATTTATGGAGTAAAACTATCAGAAAATAAAATAGCTTATATCTTTTTTTTAAACATAAAGAAACCTTTAATTTCAGACATACTCCCTTTTATATAACTTGTTTGTTGATGTGGAGATGGTGAAGGAGTAGAAGTTAGTTGTTGATAAGAGGATGAAGGCACGTAAGAGATCGAAGTGTGGTCTTGTGGAGTTGTAAGAGATATGAGTGCGGTCTTGTGTTGATAGCGTTGGAATAGGAGTTAGTTGTTGAGGAGAGGCTCATACACTCTACTTTACGAACGGCAATAAAAAAATTAGTTTAGTAGGCATTCTTGACCATGTCACTTCGCAGGGTCACAGGCTAGGGTGGATATGATTTGAATTTCGATAAAATTTCAATTAATTTATTTATTTTATTCACTTTTTTTGGTTTTTTTGTAAAATATCAGTGCCATAGGCTTCTACTCCGTTTATATGATTAAAATGTAAAAATTTTGTTATATAAAAAAGGTCATTCAGTATCAATGTTTTGTTAACTTCCTTCCGCGAGGGTTGCCGGCAGCGACTGCCAAAAGAAATCGGGCCGATGCGCCTACACACACGCAGTAAGGAGGGGGCGGTGCCCCGATCTAGGAAGCATCGGCTGATCTAGGAAGCATTTTTGCTCCTGCCAGCCGATTAAGGAGGCGATATCGGCCACGACTTAGGATGGCCCTACATACGACACGATTTAGCGGCATTAGCGGGCTACATACGACACGATATCGGTGGCGATCTAGGGTGGAGTAGTGGGGACGCCTCCTAGATTGCCTCTAAATCGTGTCGTATGTAGGGCCATCCTAAGTCGTGGCCGATATCGCCTCCTTAATCGGCTGGCAGGAGCAAAAATGCTTCCTAGATCATACTTCCCTGGTACTTGTACGCTTAAACAGTTGCGATGCCACTAAAACGGTCGCCGCCGATAAATCCGTCGACGTCACAACACAGCGGTTCGAAAGAGAAAATTTTCCAGTAACTTGTCTGATGAATTCTCCGCCATTCAGGATAAGTTTACTGACATGTTTATGTCTCTCAAGAGTGAACAAGACTCTAAATTAACAAAAATCTTAGATCCTATGTCGGTAATATTAAACAACAAAATGATGATATCAGGGAATCTATTACGTTTATGTCTGAAAAATATGACACTTTATTGTCGAGTGTACAAAGTTTACAAGATGAAAATAAAGCATATCGTAAGCGTATAGAAATGTTGGAAGAAAAAATTGAAGGGCTTGAAAGATCTTCACATTCCTATCGCATAGAATTGCGTAATGTGCCTAAAAAGGACCGCGAAAGTAAAGAAGACCTACTAAATATTTTGGTAAAGACAGGTGAAGTGCTTGGATCGACCTTACAGCATTCAGATGTCAGAGATATTTTTCGAATAAATCAAAAAAACGACAGTAATAAAATCATAGTAGTCGAGTTCACCAGTAACATTACCAAGCAAAGATTTATCGCTAATTTGAAGGAATACAATAGGAGGAATAAGAACAAAAAATTGACTTCGACCGACGCAGCCATTGCGGGCCCTCCTACTCCCATTTTCATCTCTGAAAATCTTCCCCAGAAAACAAGGCGATTGTTTGCAGTAGCCAGAAATTTCCGAAAGGCAAATAATTATGCATACTGCTGGACATCTGCTGGTAGAATATTCCCAAAAAAAAAACAGATAGAGATAAGCCTATACTAATAAAATCCCAAGAAGATATTAGCAAAATACCGATCATTTGACTGCTTTTATTTGTTACTATTTCAATTTATTATGATATTATATGTCTGCCTCTGTTTTTGTCTGTAAACATACGTTGCAATTTGTTAAATTTTTGTCATTTAGTTAATAGATTTTTAACTTTTTTTGCTTTTGTGCGTCGATACCACAACACAACACCAAAACTGCTTACATCACACCACTCTCATATCATATTCAAACAATATACTCATGTTAAAAATAACGCGCACAGTATTAAAATTCAACATCTACATGGCCAAGTTTCTTTTACCAATTTTTACATGTTTTTAAAAATAAAAAGTACATTTACTCAACAACTAGCGTCTGTCATAATAACGGTTCTGGAGAACAATAATAACCATATTTATATAGGTTATAATTTGTGTCCAAGTATTAACTTGTCTAGGACTAGCATAGAATTATTAATTTGTTTACTATTGATCCAAGTCAATTTTGACTGCCCTTATATTTTAACACTCTACACAGGAAACAATTCCTTCAATATAAATAACAAATTGCTTTCATCTGAAATGCTGCATTACATTTTTAACGATTTTTCTTGCTTTATGCGTAAATCATCTACAGTGAGCTCTCAGTTGTGCTTTCAGCAATGGCACATCATTTTTATACATGTAATATTATTATGTCTCTGCAAAAATAGAAATACCATGAATCTCCCGATTTTTCGTGTCAAACATGTATGTATGTATGTATATGTATGTATGTGTGTATGTGTATGTGTATGTGTGTGTATGTATGTATGTGTATGTATGTGTGTGTATATGTATATATATGTATATATGTGTGTATATATATATGTATATATGTGTATATATGTAAATTATTTATTATTATTTTTGTTATATGTTAGTTATTTGAACACCAGTTTTTTATATACTAAAATTCAATTCTCAATCTGATATTAGTTATGCATTGGACAGAATTTCTTCTTCTGAGGCTGTCTTAAGCTCACCAGAAAATTGTATGCGTTTACTAGCAAAGTTCAGCTCTAAGTCACTTAAATTAATTTGCCAAAATATTCGTAGTGTAAATGGTTTCCTATTGTTACTGACAAGAATTAATATCGAGTTTGACATAATAGTCCTTACCGAATGTTGGTTACGGTACAATTATTGTGTTCCTTCTTTGCAGGGATATAAGTATGTGGCATCTACGAATCCATATAACCAAAATGATGGTGTGATAGTTTTTACAAAAAATAACATAGAGAGGATTTCGGTGGAGGAACCGCAGCTCTTAGATTCAAGCTCTCTCTTAATTAAAATAGGTAAAGATACCGCCGTATTAGCAATTTATCGACCTGATGCCTTCCGTAAACAAACTGACTCATTTTTTCAATCGTTGGATACTTTACTTAGTAGTCTCTCATTTCGAAACGTAATTTTTGTAGGAGATATTAACATAGATATATCTCCCACTAATAATGATGTTAACTCTCCTGCATATCTAAATTTGACTGCTGGACATGGTCTTCTTCCCTCCCACTTAATACCTACGCACAATCGTACGTGTCTTGACCATGTTCTGCTCAAAACCACTTACCCAGCTTTTACTATTGTTGTTGAAGCCACTGTGACTGATCACTTTGCGGTGATACTCTCTCTTTCAAAGAAAGTACAGTACATTCCACCTAAGAGTGTTCACAAGATAAACGAAGAAAAGTTGAGTCAAAGTCTCTTAAGTGTAGATTTTGAGAGCTTGTTAAATTTAGATGACCCCGATTCTGCGATGGAATATTTTATAAATGCTATACGTAACTCCATCTCCTACGCGACTATAACTTATATCCCATCCCGCAGGCGCAGAATTCTTAAGCCGTGGATGACTCCAGGACTCCTAAAGTGTCTTAGAAATAGAGACAACTTACACAAAAAGTTTAATAAATCACCCGATAACGTGGTTCTCAAAGTAACCTATAAGCGCTACAGAAATTATTGCAATTCTTTGCTCAAGAGCGTTAAACGCGATTATGAAAGAAATAAATTTGCTGAGGCTGGAAAAGACTCAAAACGTATTTGGGAGACAATAAACCAAGTTACCAATACTAGCCCTAGAACAACACCAGGCCATGAATTATTACAATTGTGTCCATTCCCATGTGAATCGGCCGATAGAGTTAACTCCTTCTTTATCAATGCTGGCAAAATCCTTGCTGAAAAATTTGACCAGACGACAGCTATCTCAACCCATGCTACTTCTGCGGTTTCAAGTCCTAATTTAATAGAAAACTCTTTCGTTCTTTTAAATACAGACGAAGAAGAAGTTGAACGGATTATCATTGCTTTAAAATCAGATAAAGCTGTTGGATGGGATGGTATCTCCACTGGTCTTCTGAAAAAGTACAAAGACATCCTAGTGCCTCCTACTTATTATCAACTTGTGTTTGACGGCAGGTGTTTTTCCAAGGGTGCTAAAAAAAGCTGTTGTTCATCCAATTTACAAAAATGGCGATCAAAGTCTACCTAATAATTAACGTCCTATATCAATACTGCCGTCAATCTCTAAGGTTTTTGAAAAAATCATAAACTCTAGACTAGTGAACTACCTTGAGTAAAAGAATTTATTATCAAATGTCCAGTTCGGTTTTCGTGCAAAAAAATCAACATCAGATGCTTTACTTTCGGTTACCAACTACATTACGCAAAACTTAGATAAGGGTAGAAAGAGTTTAGCCATCTTTCTCGATCTAGAGAAAGCTTTTGACACCGTTTCAATTCCACTGTTGCTCCAAAAGCTTGAGGATATTGGCGTGCGAGGCTGTCAACTTACATTATTTTCTAGCTATCTCAGTGGCCGATGTCAGTGTGTCAAGTTGTCTAATAGTGTCATCAGCTCTGATTCTCCTGTCTTTTTTGGTGTTCCTCAGGGTAGTATACTTGGTCCGACTCTATTCCTCATTTTTATTAATGATTTGTGTAACCTTAATCTTCACAATGGCAAGATAATTACATTTGCTGATGACACAGCTTTCTCCTCCTTTTTTCTGGAAGCACCTGGGAGGATGTTTTCCGGCAATCTCAGGTTGAGTTTAATATGGTATGTGCTTGGCTTAGGAAGATCTTACTAACTCTAAGTTGTAAGAAAACTAAATATATGCCTTTTGCAATCCGTACCTCATCCTTACCTGGAGACGCGCATAAAATCATTGCTCACTGTTGTGCTAATTCTAACACTTTAGATTGTTCCTGTCCCGTTTTAGAGAAGACTAATAGTATCAAGTATCTTGGCATATTATTTGACAACACCTTAACATTCCGTTCTCATATTAAAACACTATGTGGTAGAGTGCGTAAACTGATTTTTATATTTAAAAAATTAAGACATGTTGCTAATAGAGAAGTACTAAAATTGGCCTATTATGCTTTGTGTCAATCTTTATTAACATACGGAATGGAAGTCTGGGGTGGTGCAGCCAAAACACATATTAATTGAATGAATTAGAGCGTGCGCAAAGATCACTTTTAAAAGTTATCCATTTTAAACCCTACTTATACCCAACTTTAGATTTGTATAGAATTAGCGAAGTTCTTACAGTTCGACAACTATTTGTGCTACATATAGTTTTAAGACAACATGCAATTTCAAAAATAACTCAAAAGGAACATTGCCGCCGTAATCATCTGGTAGCTCAGTCAGTGCCTTTCTTCACATCTTTTTCTAGGAAATTCTATACTTTTTTTGGGTCCGTATTTATATAATAAATTACACCAAAAATTATCTATTTATGAAGTCAACAGATGGTCATGTAAAAATAGACTTGTGGAATATCTTCAGACTCTTTCATACACAGATACTGAACAATTACTCCAAATTATCTCATAAATATTCACGGACATACACGCAGACATGCTAACAGTTACAAACTCTCATACTTACGCTACAAAATACGTGGTTTTTGTATCTTTTATTTTATATTTTTTATTTTTTTCTCTAAATATTATTATTTCTAACCATAACATAAGTGATCTCCTTATAATATTATACTTGTTGCCAAGTAAATTTGGGGGGGCCTGGTGACCTGTAATACGGGTCTTTGAACCTACACGGGCACCAGTCTCCCATGAATGACAAAATATTGTTAAAATAGAGATGTAACACTAATGTATTTTCCATGTCGTTTGTGGTGAGAAATAAATAAATTATTATTATTATTATTATTATAAATGGATGAAATAAAAGTGATATGCTGTTACATAAATTGTATTATTTGCTAACAGATGTTTTAAACTGTTTGTGTAAGGATTACAAAAACACAGGCTTAATTTAAATGTATTTATTGCTAGCAATGCGCCTCAGCTGTGCACTGGTGATTTATGGATCTCGACAACAGTGCCATCTACCGGGTCCAAATGTAAATATAAACCATTTAGGGATCCATACAAACACACACAAACATTTTCATTGAAATTGGTTGGATGGTTTCTTATGTTTTGTCTATAACGGACATAGGTAGAAACATTTTAGTGTTAGATATATTTCTGAAGGTTTTTTGAAAATAACTTGATGGTAACATGTACATTTATGATATTGTAAGCAATCAGAAGGCATTTTCAATTATAAGAGATATGATATAAGACT